TACAATTTTAGATGCAGCGGAGGATCGGATGAGGTTCTAGAATTTCAAGACAGATTAAGAAGAGTCTCGTCACAATTAGAAACGTTAAGGCAACAACACAGCAACCTCATAGCGCAGATAAGAAAGTCTTCAGGGTGAGTCACTGATGTATCTGTTATTAGAATACCGTAGGGTTGTCTACACCGGAGTATTTCATATTTTCGAAAATATGTTAATAGCGCACAGTGTTTACTTAGTGAATTATTTATAATCGTTGTTTATAATATATATAATAAATCGATTTTGCGAATAAAAGTATCTTTTAATAAAAATTGAAAAAGTACCATGCTTATAAACAAATATATCGGTGAGGAAGTCAAATTAGATACTCTTTTGCTTTTAATGGATTACCGCTTATCAATTTTCCACGAACAAATTTATACAATAGCTTTTAGTTATTTTTTGATATAAGTGTTTATTAGGATAACAAAAATTCAACCCAAAAAAGGTATTTCATTAGCCAGTTTTCATAGGAAAGTATCCGTTATATTCTTCTATGCTGATCAGGAAGTAAAATAGAAAATTAGGCATAGAATAGGTTATATGCACATTTGTTGTAAATGTTTTCATATGAAAATTTACATCGGTATATAACTGTAATAAATACCCGGCATCGGAAAACCAAAATTTAGTAACAATAATAATTGATGAAAAGAATTAATAAATAGCAGTTTAAACGCCGGAATTTTCGGCGTGCTTGTCGTGACGTCAAAGTACACGACTAGAGATGTCATTTTAAATCAATTTGATTTTAAGTGCTAGATTATTATTTAATTACCCAAATCGATTAACAACTAATCGATTATTTTAAGTATAATAGATTTTTTAATAAACACACCTATACATAGGTAAAATAAAAATGAAAGCCTAAAACATAATTTAAATTGTAATGTGTTGTTTATTTTGCGACATAATACGTAGATGTTGCATCAATGTAAAATTTTTGTAACAAGGGCATCCCCATACGTGTATATTTTCGTCACATCCGCAAAAATATTGAGAATTTACCGCATTCTTTTTTGCACTTTTTAATAATTATTTTCAAGGCGAAAACGAATAAATGTTAAAAAATATTTACATAGACTTTATGCTAAAGCCATAATGATTGTAATAAAATATACTTAACTCTTTTTTGAATCAGACGCATATTCCAAAGGTACATGATTCCATATCCATTTGATTGATTTAGACTGAGTGAAAAATTTTATTTTGCTTTATTTACTACGAACCTTTTTAAATAGCTGCAAAAAATTTAAATACCAGTGCTATATTATTAGATATGTGACGATACCTTTGAATAATGATGGTTTATCTAATAATGTTTTGTTTGAACTTATATTCGTTAAATTTTAACGTATTGTAATCCTGCCCTTTCAGGGCTATATAACATAATTTTTTAATATTCTTATTATTATCTTTATCGTCATAGCTTATAATCCGGTAACATAAAATATGTTCCTAAATAATATCTCATATATTTTGTTACTTTTCAAGTCTTTTGCAATAAAACAACACAAAAAAATGTTGGGTGAATTAGAATGTTCAGAAACGTGTATCTCACAACCCTAAATGTACAGGATTGCAATATGTAAACATTGTTCCGAATATAACTCGATCGTGTAAATAAATATCATATGTATCACCTTTTAATTGACACCTAATGCTAAATCGCTGCCAAACGAAATATATCGTTGCCAACATTATAGCTATTCTATTATTTACTACATGTTTCCCCGCGACTTTGCCTGTGTGAATTATAGCATTTGTCACCCGCGTATGATGCCGTAGGTGAAAGAATTTTCACAATCGTATTTTCCAGTCCTTTTTTACTCGGAACTGAAAGTCATTTGGAATGATGTAGCCAAATAACGGTTCTAATTAGCAATTCTGTCGTGTCTGTTAGGTTTGTTTAATTTTAAACCCACACGCGGTTTGTATAATAACTCATATTTAATTAATTTTGCTAATGATTTGCTACCTATCGACTATAATTAATTAATAAATAAAACCATACCGTAAAAAGGTAATATAAATTCAAATAAATATGTTATTTGTTGAGTTGGTTGGTGAAACTATAAAGTGGGTAGCTAAGGAAGCCTCCATTGCTGAATTATGAGATACACACTTGACCGGTTTGTCTAGATCTTTAAATGACGAATGACCCAGGTAACAATAGATGAATAAATTTGCGACCAGATGTTATTCGAGAATGACTTTTGCATTTTTCAATTTCTTTACAAATAGGAACTTCTCCAACAATATACTTTTTCAGATATGTTAAGCACATATTTGAATTAAAGCGTCATTGACTTTAGATTGAGTTTTAGTACTCCTGTCAGCGAAAGTAAGCAAAATTCTCAGGGTATCCGCGGAATACCAGCGCCGCGGCAGACTTCTATTATGTATTTGCCAAATAAACATTTTTTTATTCATTCAAAATTCAGAAGTTTTGACGTAAATCAACAGTGAGAAACACGAGCAGAGGGGTGGACAGACAGACACACGATTGATCGTATAACGGTTTATTAACGGTTTGGTCAATGTTTTACGAAGAAAATTTATTTATGAGCTTGCGTGCCGCCGACATGCTCATAAGTTTAGATTCAAATTTCGTATTACGTATTCATATTGTATTATAGTATTTGTAAGCTGTAGAAATACCAAGATATATTACTAGTGAGTTTAAATACATCTCGTGATTACTCGTCTCTTTTCTATGTATATGTTTATGTATGTTTACATTAGACTCTTTACTCGGGCAAATGTCTAATTCGGTATTTTTATAATCTGCTTTAACTATGAAGCGCAGGCATTATTACGTTACTACAATAGGCCAATTGCAATTAATTTTTAACTTAATTATTAACAGGTTATTGCTTAAAATCGGTTGGAGTTGTCTTTTCGAGTGTATTAACTGTGGTAACGCATTAAAACATCGCCAATCTGCAGTTTGGATGATGTACAAAGAATTAAATTCTTTATCTATTTAAAAGTTAAGGGCACAACACTTTATTATATCCTAGGCACAGATATTATAAGGTGAAATTATAATAAATGCTAACGTCTACAACAGTGTTTATATTAGGAATCTCTATGAATTGTACAAGAGCTCGTTTCAAAAATCTGCAAGAGTTTTCAACGGTTGATATTTCAGTATGTGGAAATACTGAGGGTATACAAACTCAATACCCAGTGCGGAGGTCAGGCTCTAGAACACTGGTAGCAGCGGTGCAATTTAAAGTATTAAAAGGTGCTTTTTAATAGTTTAAAATTAGTGGAAAACTAATTTTAAATACAAATAAACTGTTCAGATCGCATAATCGTGAAACCTGTATAAATCTTTTGCGCATTTTTATTACAAGCTCTCAGTCTAAAACGTTTGTTGGGTTATCAAGGGTCAATTGTAAATCTCTTTGGACTCATGTGTTACTGTGTGTATATTTTTTTTTCAGATTAAATGTTAACTTGAAAGATATAGATGCGGGGGCCTTGTTCCTCGATAGTGGACACGGCCCCACCGAGGACTATGAGAATCTCAGAAGGAGAATATACTCGAATACAAAGGAACTGTGGTACTACATAAGCCATGAGCTGAGCAAAGTTATGTACGAGGACAACAAAGTTGAGAAAGTACAAGCGATTTTGGACCAAATCTCAGAGAGGAAAAGGTCGGTATTCGTAGAGTTATGTACTAGTTGTAGGAAATTGACGCATTGATAACGGTTATTGCGCTTGTAAGCTAATCTGTGGCCTAGCTAGACAATTGTTACCTATGTGAGAAAAGTGTACTGTTACTGTATTATGGCATATATTTTTTTTTTGTAGAGAACGAAAATAAATATTGGGAAATGATTTAAACGTATGATTATACGAATTTATCTGATATAAAAGACTAAAATTGTAATTGGAGGTTTCCACATATTCCTTCTGAATTATTTTTTTCATAAAAATTGAAAGACTCGAACCATCGACTTTTGTTGCTGGCTATGCATGGCGTACTCCTACTTTTATCGTTAATGACGTGAACAATACAGCTACGGTGTCCATTCCAGGTCTCTGCTATCAGATCAGGAGAAACTCCCAGAGTTGGACGGGTACCACGAGTGGCGGCAGACGGAGGCGGCAAATGTCAGCGATCTCATACAGCGAAGGTTGCGCCATTTACAGAACCCGCCTGACTGCAGAGAAGCAAGGAAACTCATTTGTAATCTTAATAAGGTACTTAAACATTTTTGCTTTTTATTATATTTGATTTTGTTAAGAATATTTTTGTGAATGCATAATTCATCATATATAATAATTAGAACTAATTTTTATCTTTATCGAAAGTTTAAATATTTGTAAAAATATTTTTTTTGGTTGTTTGGGTGGATTGCCAGAACATTGACGAAATTACGCTCTGTACCATCTAAAAGTGCCAGGCACAAAGGTGATGCATTTTTCAAAGAGCATTTCTTATAAGGAATATTTTGCTATTCATTTATATTTAAAGACAAAGGGATCTAGCTATACAGCCTGTTCTGGCGCAATATCTAACTCTGGTATTTCTTGAAAGTTTTTGAAGTCAGTCGAAAGATGTAGGAGAATTGGAGTAGTTCGGTAGGATAGAGAAGACCAGTTCTCGGTCCCACATTATATTGATGTTAGGTTTACGACTCATGAACGTGAACAATATAACTTCATTTAATTAAATCATATTAATTTGCATGACACTGACTTGTATAGGAAAACCACTGTAGCGTAACCAACTAATAATTCAGTTTTGTAAAAAATTCACTACTATATGACAATGATAATTGAAAAATCATAATCAAATAATGAGAAATGGATATTTTTCGGTATGTGTGTGAGTATTATTATTCACTCTGATAATACGTAACTTCGATGTACTCGTAGTGTATGCCTACATATTCGGGGTTCGGTCTATAATGTAAAATAAATTGTTTATTTTTATCGTAACAATGGTCACGCTGTACAGTTCCGTTTGTTTCTTTCTGATCAGTGGAGATAGTTTATTGTGTATAATACAATACACTTCCGCAGTTTCAACAGCGTATGATTTGGATATATAAAATAAGACGAAGGAATTTATTTTATTAAAATCATATTTCAGATTTTGTCGTTTCGAATAATTTGAATGGTAAATTCATAGATAAAGAGACTATTTAGAGTAAGAGAGTATTTATAATATTGTTTGGATATGTTTATCACAAAGAAACATAATAATTGTAATATTTTTTAAAATTATTTTAAAGATATGTTATATTTTGTCGTCATATCTCTTTACATCATATATACTTTAAAGAGTAAAGATTTGATTGTTTGTTTGTTTGCATCGAATAGGCTTCGAAACAACTGGGCCAATTAAAAAAATAGGCTTTTTGGAGAGATGTTGGCATATACCAAATAAAATCTTAGTCCAGATCACACATTGCAAAACCAAAATATTCAGTTAGTTCATTCTGTAAACATTAAATCAAAGGGAGCAATTCACTTTTTTTGTCGGAGTTTGTTTCGCCAGTTCTTCTCAGACAAGACTCCCAAATTTGGAACTGGTGGTAGATTACGGTAGCCAGGGGTAAATAAATAAGTGAAATGTATTTTTAAAACTAATTTAATTTAATAAATGTAAACGTTGCCATAAAATAAAAAAAAATTGTATTGTGAATTTATCCAACAAAAAATTTTATATTGTGAATTTATCCAATAATATTGTTTTGAAGGTAGCTATACTCTTAATTTAAAAGACAACACCTCAGTGTTATGTGAACAAGGAACATGTAGGGGACCGTCAAAAAAAAAAAACTAAATACAAACGCGATTGAACCGTTAAAAGTCGTTTCATCTATTTTATTTAATAAATGCGGGACATGTATTGTATGACAACAGAGTTCAATAAACGATATGCAATTAGTTGTTACCTTTTGTTGATATAGTTGTTGCGTTGTCGTTAAGCAACTTTCGCTAGGGTCGGTCACGGGATGGGTGACCAAAAAAAAAATTATTATCTCGAGCTACTCCGTGCTTCGGAAGGCACGTTAAGCCGTTGGTCTCGGCTGCATTTGCAGTCGTTAATACCCTCCAATCCGCATTGGGCCAGCGTGGAGGTTCTTGGCCCATCCTCCTTAACCATCCATAAGGAAGGCCTGAGCCCCTGCAGTGGGGACGTAAAAGGGCTGTTGATTGATTGATTGATTGTGATCTACCGGAACAATACATTGTGTTGATTTAATCAATTATTCAACTTTGCTAATATCGAAATGTTTACGTATCTGTAACTGTTGATTACCAAGTAATAACACAAGTGACCTTCAGATAGTATTTTTTTAAATAATAGTTTAATATAATTATTGCAGTTTGAACGTATTACACGATTATGTTGTTAATACTCTTTACAATTCCTATATTTTAAGTATGTTGAGTAGAAAAGGTGCAATTTTATTGATCAGGGCCCATATGTGGAGTGTTTCGAATTTCTGTAATGGTTCATTTGTATTGGGCGATAGGTTCCGTATGCCCGAGTGCGAGTAATTTTTCTGGCGCATTTTTATTGATTGATAATAGCTTTATGGAGAATGAACCCGCAGAGTTCGCCCGTATCCCGCATGTGGACACCATGACCAATGATAATGAGCCAAGCTCATATCACAGTGCATTCGGGGGGTAATCTCGGGAATATTTGTAACGCACAGAGTAGAAAAATTTATGTATGCGTAGTTGGTATCACTACTGCGCTATTGATTTAGTGTTAATTGATATCACGGGTTGGGGGGGGGGGGGGGAGTCCTATGCTAAAAAAATCTTTAAAAGTAATTAAAAATCTTAACAGAAACTATAGCGATTCAAAGACTTTGAATCATGCTGTGTAGTGATTTCGAAATGTACTGTAAATCTTTTGACAATGTTCCAGTTTAGAAAAATATGTGGGAGTACTACGTACGCTGTATCGGAAATACTCTGTAGTACGAGTAAAATTAGTTTGTTAAACAAATTTTGTAACAGCCGTGGCGATTGTTAGCTCCACTAATAAGTCGGTCGTTGACACCTCACGTCACTCTTAGGGAACAGTGACCGGTGACAGATGGACAGGTACAGGTGGCAGAGGTCGGACCACCTCGACAGTAGAATTTAGTTTGAAATTACAATACTGCAAAGAGTAAGAAAGTAATATGCCCGCGTGGTTCTGTCTTATATCTATTACCTTCCTCTTGAATTACTCTGTGTATTTATAAAAATCACGATACGTTGTGTAATTTTAAAAGATCTCTACGTACAGACAGCGTGAAGCGGCTGTTTTATATTATTTATTTATTCTTTATTCCAATTAAAAAACACAAACGGCGGACTTATGTGGCCTGAATGTTAGACTACTGTCTCTGATAAGTAGTAGGATCAAGAGCCTATTCTACTAATTCATGAATTGTCAGCACGATCTTTTTTTTTTAATTAAATTAGCTGTTACCCCGCGACTTCGCCCGTGTAAATTACAGCATATGTCATCCGCGTATGATGTAGTTATCAGTAGGTGAAATAATTTTCATAAGCGGATCAGTTTTTTCCAAGATTAATCCTTACAAACAAACAAATATAGATAAAAACTTTACTTCATTACAATATTAAGTAAAGTTTTTATCTATATTTGTTTATATTTATTTGTTTGATATGATTAAATATAATGAATCACTAAGAAATAATATTCATAATTCCTTTTTGATTGGATAGAATCCATAGACACTCCATCCGAGTATGTATGAAAAATGCTAAGAACCATTGTAGGGTTAAGGACTAGTGACCGTACCTTGCGGCGTTCATTCGTCTCTGTCTACCCCGCGAGGGATTCATGAGATAATATAGACAAATAATTAATTTTCTTTAAACATTGTACAATAATTTAGACGTATAATGATTCTCAAGCGATTGTAAGTGGTATGTTTATTATGATAACGATAAATAATTGTAATGCTCTACTTAGATAATGGCACTACTAACTTGTTTTTAATGATGCCAGTCTCAATGTTATTTATTTTTTTAATTTGCCTATCAAGTCTAGTTGAGTCGAGGAGTTATCGAAACTTAATTGTAAAATTAAGGTAGCTGGATTACTTTTGGATTTGACGGCAGCATTTGATATGGTAGATCATGGTTTATTGTTGGCAAAGTTGGAACATTATGGCGTGAGAGGTAATGGTTTGAAGTTGTTTGGAGTTATCAAAACTTAATTGATAAATTAAGGTAGCTGGATAATTTTGGATTTTACGGCAGCATTTGATATGGTAGATCATGGTTTATTGTTGGCAAAGTTGGAACATTATGGCGTAAGAGGTCATGTTTTGAAGTTGTTTCTATCATATCTAGAATAGGCAGCAGTACGTGGAAATTTGGCCAATAGAGGAAGAGCTCTTATACGTGTGTAGTCTACATAATGTTTTCATCAAAAACGTAAAAAAAACATAATTTTTTTCCATGCAATAATTATTATACCCTTTATTGTAGGTACTCAAAATTTTACATAAAAGCAAGTAAATAAATTTGTTACAAAGTTGGACTTATCTCTAGAAGAGATATCTTCCAGCCAACTTAGGAGTCGTGGGAATCCATCTAAATATATATTACACGAAAATCCGTTCTGTATTTTTGAGTCTTTTATATACTAACTGTTTTCCGGTGACTCGCTTGCTTATGATAGAGCTTCCCGTAGGTGAAAGACTTTAAAAAATTGGTCCATTAGTTTCGGATCCTATTTTACAACTAAATCGTATCAGTTATTATGTTCTCTAATTATGGAAAAAATAATGAATCTATTCATTCATTCATGTCGTGATATATTTCCGTAGCTTTTGTCTAAATAAATGAATAAAATTTTCGCGCAAAATTCGATTAAATTAACCGATACTCTCAGAATATATTGTTATATTTCTCACCTCATTTTCATTGTTTATATAATGATATAATGATCCATGAGGGGCCGTCCATAAATTACGTCACACAAAATTCATGATTTTTACCCCCCCCCCCCTCCTGTCATATGTTTGTCTATACAAATTCTACTAAATATTGCTCTAATGTCACAGTTCGTCGACCCCCCCCCTCCTAACGTGTGACGTAATTTATGGATGGCCCCTGATGGATGAAATACTAGTTTCATTTAAATGTGTACAGAAAGTGGAAATAAAATATTACATAAACGAAAAATCATAACTAGTATTAAAAAAATCGCTTATTAAAATTTCGATAATGTATTAATAGAAGATAAAATTTAAAGAAAATCTAAACTTCTTTTCCAGGGTTGTGGTTTCGGATGTCAGCTCCACCACATAGTGTATTGTTTAATATTTGCGTACGCAACAGAGAGAACCTTAATATTAAACTCAAAAGGTTGGAGATACAACAACAAGGGCTGGGATTATGTTTTTTATCCGATATCGGACAGTTGCACCAGCGCCTACGACGATAAAGTTATACAGTGGCCAGGTAACTGGAACCCTTATTGTTTAGATGTTAAGGTTGTTTGTTGTAGATGTAATATAGTTTAATGGCGAGATTTTCATTTTAATACAGAATGAAAATCTCGCCATTTAATAGTTCTGTTTGAAATAATACTTGTAAATGTTAATTTTTTATTAAAAAAGCCGTAAAACAAATATATCGGCAAAATAAACACTTACTTTATACACCTGTTCTTTATTTTTTCAGTGTCATATGACGCGAAAGTGATATCTTTGCCTTTCATCGACTCCATATCACAGAAGCCTAAATTCTTGCCATTAGCGATACCAAAAGATTTGGCTCACAGGTTAGTGGCATGATAGTAACCTTTCTTTTCTTGAGTGTAATTTACGTATTGTAAGCTTAAGTCAATGTCGTGATTAAGGCAATTTACAGAACATTAATAATTTAGGTATACACCAATATCTTCCTTAGATTCATTCCTTTCATAGGTGAAAATTACTTGATAATATGGTCTGTAGTTTTTATTTTTAAGTAAACACGCTCCAAGTGTGAGACACAGATACAATTGTAAGATTTTGTTTAAAGAGCAATGTGCATATTGAAAAATGTATAGTTTAATAATATGTTCTCTTCAATTTTTCTAATCGATTTTAAACTTTAGTATATTGACATTAGATTTCAAAAAAGTTTGCGTCATTTTTACACTATATTATGCTTGCTAAATGTATTTATGCAGAATGTGCATATTTAAAAATTTACGGTTTAATACTGTGTTCTCTTTAATTTCTCTAATCGATTTTAAGCTTGAGTACATTGACATTAGATTTCAAAATAGTTTGATGCCTTGATGCTAAATGTATGCCTGAGGCATTTATTATGTGAATACATGAATACACAGTTAAACTAACATTTTGGGTGTAATAAAAAGTTGGTCCTTCGAGCAGGATAGTGCGGTTCAACGGAGATCCAGCTTCGTGGTGGATCGGTCAAATGTTAAAGTACATTTTAAAACCGCGACCCTCCCTGCAGAAGGCAATCAACGAGACCATCGCTAAAATGAACTTCAAGACACCAATCGTTGGGTAAGTTTTTAATTGAGAGCTTAAGTTAGTGCAAAACGTTCGTGTTTTTTATATTCCGTATAAGTTTTCGATAATGAATTTGATTATTCTAGTATAATTATTATCTATCATAAAAGAAATTTATTAATGCCCATAGAGAAAAATGCATTTCTAAATGTACATATTCTAATTGTCAATTATCAAAGTATGATTGCGACTGTTTCATTACGTTTATCGTTTATTTGATATTTGTTGGCGCGTTATTGAGCATATTGCAATCAAAACGGCTATAATCATTACAATGAACTTTATCGAGTGTTTGATTACTATTCGATATCGATTTTATGTCATGCAGTTCGGTATTATAATGCGTACTATAGTAAGGAACTAGTTAGTGTGGCCATTTGCATAAACCTCAATCTAAGTGGACTCCGTAGCCGAGTGGTTCGCACGCCGGTTTCAAGGTGTCGCCATCTCTGAGGTCCCGGGTTCGATTCCCGGTCGGCTCAATGTAGAAAATGAACTTTTCTATATTGACTCGGGTCTGGGTGTTGTGGTACCTTCGTTGTCTCAGATACTCCATAATACGGGGGCTTTAGCTACTCATCTTGGAATCTGAGCAATGTATGTGATGTTGTTAAATATTTATTTATTTATCTTTTTCTCTATTGCGGAAAAGGATATGATGACATTTGTCGTACGTTTAAACTTCTTCGTTGGTGCTTTGTATTTGTTTAAAATTTCTTGGCATTTGTTATTTACTGTTCATAATCAAATTAGAAATTAAAAAAACTATTAGATGTGTTATTTACTATTTATGTCGGTAAAATCCATTGCGCAGGACACGCAATAGATTTTATATAATTGAATGAATGAATTAGTGTGTCCATTCATAGACGTCAGGATGGCTGTCAGAATTTACCAAACTTGGCGGTTTACCTTTAATAAATTTTGAACTGAATAAAAGCTCAAGATGGGGATCTTGGTCAAAAACAAAAGAGGTTACTACAATAATATTTCGAATCGATCTTATGATTTTGTTAAAATCATATCTGTGTAGATGATTTGTCTACTAGAGGTAGTATCAAGTCCCACTTACTTAACGTCACAAATGATCGAAAAATGGGTTTCTTTGGAGTCATAAAATATAGAATTTCGTTTTCGGATTTCGCATAAATAGAGTAGGCCATCTGGTGTTCATCGGTGCAAAATTGTTTTTGATTTCAATGTGGTGTGTCTATGGTTAAATGGTATTAAAAAATAATAATCACGTCAGTAATATCAGATAGTCAGAAACTGTTAATAGTATATTTGGCTATTTCTCGATGTTGTGTATAAAATAAAATAAAAAAAATTAGTGTTTTATTACCGAAACCAAGTTTCACGTTTGTTACGCAATTTGTAAAAAGATGGATTGATTATATTATCTCCCTTGTTTCGACGTGCCTTAGAACATAGGCCTCTCCCAGCTGCTTTCAGTAGTCTCTATCTGCAGCAATTCTCATTTGGTGTAGTCCCAGGGTCAGGCGGATCTCGTCTTTACACAGCACTTTCGATAGTGTTTACTAGTTCTAATAATAAGAACTTGATACGTTTGTAGCTCGGTGACGTAGTTTATAAGCGGCGCGGCTCGCGACTTTTGTTGTTAAGTAACTTTCGCAGGGGTCAGTCATGGGATGGGTGACCAAAAAATTTTAATTGTTAAGCCGTTGGCCCCGGCTGTATTTGCAGTCGTTAATACCCTCCAATCCGCAATGGACCAGCGTGGAGGGTATTGACCATACATTTTGACCTTCCATAACGAAGGCCTGAGATCCTGCAGGGGGGATGTGAAGGGCTGATGATAATGACGTTTGTAGTGTGCACATCCGTCGCACGGATAAGGTGGGCACGGAGGCGGCGTTCCACCACATCCACGAGTACATGACGCACGTGAAGGCGTACTACGACCAGCTGCAGCTCACCAGGCTGGTCGACGTCAGGAGAGTCTACCTCGCCACCGATGATGCTAACGTGAGTCCGCCATATCATGCATAATGCTAATCAGCGTTACATACATATTTCTATATATCGACGCTGGAAAGCAAACACTTAGTAACCTTCAAAATTGAAATGGATATTTAGAGTGAAAAATCTTTATGTTTTTCCAAAAAAAATAATCTTATTTCCGTATAAATTGACAAAGGTTGTATATTCCAAAAAAAAAAAAAATCATATAACTTTACTAAGAAACAACCTTAAATGTTACCATGGACGTTTATAGGAATTATTTATTAATCGAAAAAAAAAAGTTTTTCTGCTCTGAAGGAACAATTTTGGTTATTACGTGTTTGCTTTTCAGTGTCGATATGTTCCTGTATTATACACATAAATTTTTCCTTTAAATCACTCTGTATTTTGATGAAAAATATATCAAAATCCGTTGTGTAGATGAAAAGTGTATAGATGATTATATGTACAAATTTATTCTCTTTCACATATACAATAAAGTAATAAAGTATTATTCTGTGATAAATTGATGTTGGTAAAAATACGAATTCATTTGAAAATTGAAGAATTTTTATATTCTATGCAATTTGACTTTTTTTATTAACTATTTATTTTAGAAAAATGGGAAGTGTGATCTTTTAAAACTCGTTTTATTGTTGTTTGAAAAATTCTGAAATTATTATTCTAGTCTCGGTTACACCATAATTGCAGTTAAAGTTAATGTTTATGTCAAATTCGACAATATCTGTCACGCCAATTTTAATATTGACTGTGGAATGCGTTACACGTTACACGATCCTGTTGGCATAGTTAAACAATGGTTTTAATTTACAGTTGAAGTTATGACGTCATCCAACCATTGTGAAATGATAACTCATTATTATTTGATTAACCGGTACTTTAACATGTTTGTTATTATTCATAATGAAAAATGCTTAAAAAAATCCCATCACCTTTTGCAATCTGGGTGACTGCTTAACGCAGGGGAAATGCACCTTAAGCCTCAAACCAGGGCTCCTCTTCCACCCTTAAAAGTATAGGTTAATGTGTAAGCCCTACCTGGTAAGACCCGCTGCGGTTCACCTCACGCAAGTAGGAGGAACCCGGTATCCAAAAATAGGGCCCGGTTTCCTCCATCATGAGCTACCTAGGACCTAACAGGACTGGCGAATCTTTCAAGCACTTATTACTTTTTCACTACTACAGATCGTATTTTAATTAATGTTCAGGTAATGCCTTAAGCATTTACCATTAACAATATTTTCCAGTATTACATTGTTGATCGAATATAAAAGTTAAAGTGCGTTGATGCAAGTATAACCCTCAATATTCATCTTTGTAACCAGGTGCTGGAAGATGCCCGCCGGAAATACCCCGAGTACGAGTTCCTCGGCGACCCGTCCATAGCCAAGACGGCGGCCACGCACCGGCGCTACACGCCGCTGTCGCTCACCGGCCTGCTCGTGGACCTGCACATGCTGGCCATGTGCGACTACATCGTCTGCACATTCAGCAGTCAGGTATACACGCTGGCTAAAATGTATAATCTATATATCTATATTATAAATGAATCCTTCCTTGCTTTCTTCCTGAATCTAACTGAGGATCAGATTATCCAACATCTGCTGTCAGCGATTATTGAGGTATTTTGATCATATATGAATTAATCCTTTCTTGTTTCCTTCCTGAATTCAACTGAGGATCAGATTATCCACCGTCTGCTATCAGCGAGTACTGAGGTAATTTGGTCATAGAAGGCTAGAAGACAACCCGATAGCTTAGACAAATTGGTTATTGTAGGGAAAATAGATGGCAAACGTAGACGAGGTCGTTCATCTACCCGGTGGTCTGATATTATAAAAACCGGTTTAGTTAATATTGATGTATTGATTTGATTGATTGTATATTATAACTATCAGGTGGGTCGGGTGGCGTACGAGATGATGCAGACTAACCGCGTGGACGCGTCGGATAGTTTCTTCTCTTTGGACGACATTTACTACTTCGGAGGGCAGAACGCGCACGACCGAGTCGTCGTGCTGCCGCACACGCCACTAGACAATCAGGATATCGCACTACAGGTAACTAACTATACCCATTCACCACTGACAACTCACAACTCACCACTGACAACTCGCATCTCACCACAGACATTGCATAACTTACCACTGACGACGCACAACTTACCACTCACCACAGACAACACGCAACTCATCATTTATCACTCACCACTGACGACTCACAACTCACCACTCACTACTGACGATTCACAACTCACCACTCACTACTGACGACACACAACTCACAAATCACCACTGACAACTCGCAACTCGCCACAGATAACTCACAACTTACCATTGTCGACTCACAACTCACCACTAACGACTCGCAACTTCTCACTCACCACTTACCACTCACCGCTGTCAACTCACTCACCAGCAATAAAATCAATATTTTTAAAGAACTTTTCGCCTTTTCAGGGTTGTGTACCAAAAAGGAAAAACGAAAACTTTATGAAATCACTTATGTATTTTATTGCCTTATCTAAAGAGGCTGGCAAAGCTGCTGTCGACACAAATAAACCTAATACCAACTAGCTTACCGCCAGCGGCTTGATCGCGCGGTTCATATAAACCTCACCACCTTTTTTAATCCCTTCAGGGGTTGGATTTCTAAAATTACGTATATTTAAAGCTGGTTATAATCAAATTAATAAATAAGTATTTACCTAAAAATGACATCACGCGTTCTGATAGGTGTTGCATTTGACGCGAGACACATAGTACGAATATTGGAAAATTATATTTTATTGTTAATAATTGTTATTGAGCAAAACTATTTGGCGATAATCTTTAAACTGTGAACTTTTTAACGATACACAACTTAATTATTTATTTAATTGCTGTCCGATCCCCATATTATGCAACGCAAGCAGTTAGCACCTCAAAATAAAATATGTCGTTCCTACTGTATCTAATTATATCTGTATGATTCAATTTCATATATTGTTATTGTAATATTCTTGAGATCGTTTGTCGTCGAATTAAACTTGCTTTAATTTGAGAGATACTCAGCCAGTTGCACAAACGTCCATTAACATTTTCATTACTTTAAAGTGACATTACCCATACACATTTGACATTCATTAGAGTTTTAAAGCGTCTTTAAACCTTAATGAACGTTTGTGCAACTGGCTGACTTTCTTTACATTTAAATGTTGGTTTTCATTTAATTTTGTTTCCGTTAGGTGGGCGATCTCATCGGCATTGCCGGCAACCATTGGAACGGTTACGGTCGCGGCACCAACAAACGAACCAATATGGTAAGTTTTAACTAGATCCGTTAGTTTAATATTTTTTTATTTTAACGTTACATGTTTTATCGTGTGCGAAAGCCGCCGCTACAAACATTTGTTAAATGAGCTCGATGGTTCAGAGCTTAGTTGTTAAGTAACTTTTGCAAAGGCCGGTCATATGATGGGTGATCAAAAATTTGTCATCTCGAACTCCTCTGTGCTTTGGAAGATACATTACGCCGTTGGTCCCTTTTGCAGTCGTTAACACCTACCAATACGAACTGGACCCGAGTGGTGTGTCATGACTAGAGGTCGAAATTAGGTAGTTATTTATGTACTTGCATCGGAATGTTGATATTAATGTGGACCTTCCCGGGATTTCTTCATTTCTTCTTTCTTTATTACTTTCTTTCATTGATGTAAGTTTGGCAACGTCGTGCGTGCAGTAGTTTAAATTGTGTAAAAGTAAATAACTTTTTATTTAAAAAATCACGGGACTTTTTCTGCTCTTTAAAATTAATCTCGGGATTTGAGGCATATCCACTTTATTCTTTCGCTGTATGAAATCAGTGTAAGTACATGAATAACTCTACCTAATTCTGACCACTGGTCATGACCCATTGTCCATATTTGATTTCATTCATAGGGAAGGCCTGAGCCCCAGCAATGGGGATATTAATTCATCATTATCATCATCATCAGCCCTTTTACGTCCCCACTGTAGGGGCTCAGGCCTTCCTTATGGATGGTCAAGGAGGATGGGTCAAGACCCTCCACGCTGACCCAATGCGGACTGGATGGTAATAACGACTGCAAATGCAGCAGGGACCAACGGCTGAACGTGCCTTCCGAAGCACGGAGTAGCTCGAGATAATATTTTTTTGGTCACCCATCCCGTGACCGACCCTTGCGAAAGTTGCTTAACGACAACGATCGCGGGCCGCGGCGCTTATCCACTACGCCACCGAGCTACTGGATATAAATTGGCTAATGATAATTTGTTTCAGAATGGCCTAGTGCCATGGTACAAGACTGCCGATCACTTAGTACTATATCCGTTCCCGGAGTACAAAGAAGTGCCGCTCTACGTTGAAACGAGACACGAACAGTTATAGGTGACCTCTCGCTCACACGCCACAGGTTAAAATTCCAATTGAATGAGGGATCAATCTCTTTAATTATACCATGAACACCTATGAAAAATTGTTCAAGACTGGTTAAGATTATTTATTGAATTACGCATTTTTGCAATAGGGTATATGCATGGGGAAGGAACGCTCGAAAAAATTTTTTTAAAATTACTTATTAAATTTTAGATTTGGTTTAGTTATTGTTAAAGTTTCATATTTATGTGGTGGGGTTTAAATGGAAATTCTTTTTATATACGTCGTCTTTTTGTATATTTTGACGTCACAATTACAGTATATTATCCTTGTCGAATCGCAATTTTGAGTGTTCATATCTTAATATTAATTCATTATTTTTTATTTTGATATATTGGCGCTAGAAACTGATCGTGCATATAGTCTATTGTTTGAATGGCAACACTGAATATTCAGTTTTTTATTACTGGCAACGCTATATTTTAAGTCGTCAAATTTTACATATATTATTAATGGCATACGGGTTTCTGAATTAAGTACAAAATTTCAACTGACTATTCGTTTACGTTTTCTAATTTAACAAGTCCCAGTTTTATCAAACTGCTATCAATTGATAATTTAAAAACTTAATTCAGAAACGAAATCCTGACGTTTAAGTAGTTCTTAGCTTTAAACTCTCAATCCAGAAACCGGGTTATGAAAATCCCGAAAGGATTTGAGAATTTCTTTTATTGTTTTTGGAATCCGAAGTGTTATTTTAATTTGGTATCCTCATTCGGTGGACAGATGGCTTCTCTTATCCTCCCGTTTAAGGTAAATAAGTAGCTCACACTGTTATGTACAAATAATTTATATAAGTGTCGTTTATGAAACGAATGTCGCATTATTTACGTAATTCTCATACTAAATTTATGAAATGTTAAATTCTTATGTGTGTGTATTTATATTATTTAATGTATTGTAGTTAGTTTATCAGTAATACATACCAGAGTAGAGAGAGACAGATAGGGTACGCGATCTTCTCTTTCCAACTAAAAGAGCTGTCCTCTACGCTTTTTATAATAACTCTATGTCGACAATGCGTTTATTTGACATTTCTAGGTTAAGGCATCAGGTGCATTATTATTTATTAGATTCAATTTTTGGTACGAGATACTGGTCCATTTTTTATTGTTTTACCAATTAATATCTATCGGTGTCCTTTTCAATCTGATAAACGTATGAATATACCGCGATATATGTTTTGTGCAGGGAGTTTTTAACGTATTTAAGGTCGAGAATATTTCTACTTTTATAGTTCTGTAGGCTACGATGTGAGGTGAAAATAATATAATACTTCTAAAATAGGTTTAGGTGGCGATAAATCTAGAAATTATTGATCTGCTTATAATGAGTTTCATTATTATACAGTCATTTTCAAAACATTTCTTTTATGTGACGATTATTCGATTGGAATAGATGAATAAATTTCATCTGAATATTGAGTAAATTCGCAGTTGAATAAATAAACTGATTAATAAATCTATAACCGCAGTATCAATACAGCAATATTGTTTTTTTTTTCAACTTTGTTAAATGAGACAATTTTTTAATATTGCAACGAATACGACTCATAATGAATTCTACTGATTCCGATGATGGTCGAAGTATGACTAAAAGTTTTTAATCAGTCCTATTTTAATGAACGTAAGGTATAAAATACATAGCGTTAAGTTTCCGACTCAGTTATAGTGGGCGTGGTCAAGTGCTCTACATGAATCATTCTGATTGGCCAGTATCTGAATTCTATTGGATTAATCTTCTGCGCAGGTACATCGATGAGCAATATTAGTTGTGTATTATTGACAAAAAAAAAGTTTTCTGATATTTTTTTTTGACTTTTTCTCGTGTTTTACATTCCGTTGATTATGTTCCAATCTCTTATAGTTTGTAGTTACGATATTTACAGTGCCGTATAAGCAAAATAAGCAATTGCTTAGGCTATCACATTTAAGAGGCATCAGAGACAGCAAAAAATAAGTAAGGTGTTTTGAAAATCCGTGTGTTTTGTGTACTTTACGTATATATTTTGACCTTCATACATATCCTTAGTACGTACGTAATGATTTGTTTCGTATTATTAAATACTAGCTGTTTTCTTTCGCGTATACGTATACGTTAATATCACCCGCCGATGATAGCTAGCATAAGCTTTCGGTGAGTGAAAGATTTTTTAATCCATTTGAATGCAAGCAAACAATAGGTCTTTCCTCAATAATATTAGTGTAGATGTAATTTTTAATACATCGATGTAGTTTACTTGGCGACGGAGAGGGGGGGGGGAGCTACTCCGGCACTGGCTGTATTACAGTTCACAGCGTAAGGTTATATTAAAAAAATTAACTAGCATTTCTCCAATCTATTTCAAACTTTCATCTGTTGGTAATTATGGTTTAAAATCGCCATTTTGTATAACCTGATTCGTCGTGTGCACTAAAAATGCTAGGTACTAAAGTAGAACCAACTGTTTTTATTTGTTTATCCACTTTCATTAACTAATAATCTTTATAACTTTTTTAGAATTTGACCCCAAAAATTATTTGTGGAATAAGCAGGGTTTATGAATGCGACAGATTGTGTTTTAATTGTATTAACTCCGTAAATTGAATTAAGGTATCCAACATAAAAAAAATCCTGTACTCCTAGTTTGATTATTGGATTTACTTACGGGATTACGAACGCCGACTCAAGTTGCTAATTGGGATCTTATATTTATGGCATCTCGTATGCAGCGACCTTTATGTGAATCATACGTATGCTAAATCGGTTTTATTAACGAGTACTGCAGATATAGTTGAAACTTATAAATGACAAGGGCGTCGCCAAGGGGGGGCAGGAGGGGTAGCGATCCCCC